AAATTTAAGGGGGTCTGAATACTTTCCGTACCCACTGTATATCATTGGTATTATTATTATGTACCCTGTAGCAACTATGTTCAGATCACTTTGAGCACAAACACTATGCACAGTATGTTAGCTACACAGTTAATTTATCCGAGATGTGTCTCAGACCTTAGTTACGGCTAGCCGTCTCACAACAAACAGAGGGGACTCAGAAAAATGCAGGACTCGCACTCAGGCTTGGAAAAGGAAATAATTTAAGGAATACTGAAATGAGGAATCAACGAGGACCGGACACGGAGATATTGCAGCGGATCTCGGGCAGCTGAGGGCGCTGTATTGACTGGACCGCTAGAGGAGCAACCCGGGGTCGAAGGAGAGGTGCAGCGCACTATGTTAAAGCAGAGGATGAGAGTGAGAGAGAAAAACAGGCATACGGAGATAGTTTATATCAAGTATTAAAGCCTAGGATCTGAATATAGGTGGGTGCTGGCTTTAGGCTGGAGAGCGCTGCTGGCTGGGAAAGCAGTCCAAGGAGGCTGGAGCTGGCATAGGAGAGCGCTGGCCAAGTGAGAGGAATCTGTGTAGTGGAGGTAGCTGGGCAGGCTGACAGGTGATGGCAGGGCAGGTCGAAGGATGATGTGGTGAGGGCTGGAGGCAGAGGTCCAGTGCCATCTGAGTACCTATTTCTCTCTGATGGAGGAAACGGTTCACAGGCCTCGCACAGAGTGGCACACAAGATCAGAAGGGCCGGAGCCAACCAGGTTACAGGAAAATTAGGAATGTCAAAACACTGGCAATTCATAACTAAAGGCAGCAGTGCAAATCATAAAGGCTGGAGTCCAGAGAGTCACAGAAAAATCAGGTATCTCAAACCACTGGCAAACAGTTCATAACACAAAATAGCAATCACAAATCAGAATGGCGGAAACCGCAAAGTCACTGGGAGTAGTCAAAATCAGGTTAGTAGAATAATCCACAGAGGTGCTCAAGCACAATATAAACATGCAAAGTTACCAGCAGGATGAGGACAGATCATCTGGCGACGAGATTACACCCATGCTCCACTAATTTGAAGCAGGTGCGCCTCGCCGCCAGTAGCACACTCTAGCACCTGCAGAGGCGGAGTTGTTGATGGTCCCAGTGCTGGCGGACGAGGTGCTGGGAGTGCACCGATTTGCAGCCACAACAACCTTTTAAATTCATCTAACCAGGAAATTTGACATAATTTCCTGCTAAATCATACTGATTTGCAAGCATACAAAAAAGACTACAGAAAACCTGATGGTTGAGTTGATTTATGCACCAACTCTCACCCTGCTAGACATAACAATTGAGCAATATGTCACATTTTTACTGTAAATCTGTAGAAAATGTAATATATAATGGTGTCAGTCTTTGACAGCATGCCAGGCAGAAGAGTAGCTAAGACATAGTGTCTAAGAAAAGCAGAGAACTGTCTTTGCTAAACTGATTGATTATAAGTCTTAGTAGCTGCCTCTCTCTTTCTTTATATGCATCCTCTTATCTCTGTCTGTGCCTTTCCTTCTCTCATAAATCTCAAAGCAGTGGTATGTGTGTGCGCGCAGTGTACAAATCAAAAAGAACAACATGTGTCTCTCAAAAAGTTTATGTTGTTGAGAATTTCCAGACATATAACCAACTAAATAAGTGTCACTAGTTTTTTACTTTGTCCATTGGAGCAGTTAGCATCTCAAGCATTTCTGAGCGTAAACAGAATTAAAAGATAGAATATGTGTAAGTTTGTGAGAATATGTCTAACATTTGTAC